TCCTCACTCCTTCACCGCCAAAATGCCGTCCGGGTCACCAGTGCCAGTGTCATCGCCACCACCAACATCAGTATGATCATCACTATCATCATCAGAAGTGTTCATCTAGTACCCCATGGTCCTGTTATTCCCGTAGACCATAGACCTACCAGTGAATCCAGCTGTTCCGCACGGGGTATGCCTAGTTGTTTGGTAGCTCGCCTTTGTCTCGGTTCGATGGTAACGGTAAAGGCTAAAAGTGTTGTTCTTGTGGGTCAAAGGGTTGAGCAACCGCCATCCGAAATCCTAACTGTCTAAGTAAGTAGTTTTGTTCTCCAGAATCTCTGCTAGACTCAGGTTCTGCGCCTTGCTGACGACGATGATGCTCCGCTTCTCATGAGAGCCACAGCCCAAGCTGTGCTTTGGAAGATGTTTGGAAGATCACGCAGCAGGTATGTGGGATCCTTTGCTCTGTTTGCACCTTGTTTACGTTCAGCAGAAATTCTGAGATAACGCTTGGAGTTCTTGACCGGCCTGACCCCTGCAGGCAACATGAAACCAGGATTGGTCCTTTGACCGGGTGATCGACAACCATAAGGATAGAGGACGACGACATCTGCCATAAAGTTGGGTGATGTTGATGAGACTGAAGATATGACTATGAAGAGAAGCAGGAGACGACGAAGCGTATACAATAGTCAGGAGGGTGGAGGCGTGGAGGGGTGGAGGGGTCGTGAGGGGCGAAGGTTGGAGGGATGGAGGTGTAGAGGTCCGCTTATTTAAAGTGGGCGTGGCGGCCCAGGCCCGAAGCCAACGGGGGTGGTCTAAAATATCTGTTTAGGTGGCATATTCAAAAATAGTGATAGTATGCTGTTCAAATTGCACGTTGCATAACTCTTTTCCGCCAGGTTCTTCTTGGAAAGGCGAATAATGGGTGGCTTATTGGTTTCGACAGTTTGGCAGCAGAGCCAGCAAGGAATCAAGGGATTGAAGCGGATGTCGTGAAGCTAAATGGGCAATCCAGTTCAGACAGCTTGCAGAATGCCTCTGATTGGGCACAACAGCGCGCTGCTGTCGGACCTAGCGGCCTAGGGCGAAAATCGCAGCCCAAAACCCTGAACCTGCCCCCACCGTCCCGCACCTCACGATCGAAACCAAGCATCCTCAGCCCTAATTGCATGCGGAACCCGGGGTGGGCCCACAAGGCTTCGAAGACCGGCATCGGAAATGCGCAGCATGGAGGCAGCGGCGTTCGCCTGGCCTGCTTTGGCCGCTCTGAGCTCCAGGGTCGATTTCTGGTTACTATAGAGCTCGGAATCCGCACGAAGTTTGCCTACAGCTTTCAAACCCCCAATTCCCTTAAAGCACCGATCTGATGAGTGCCTCCAAGTCTGCCAGGTCAGCATCATGCAGTCCATTCTGACCAGTGTCGCTTGGCTTTCGGCTTCAGTGCTTTATGCTTCCGACCTTTTCGGGCTTCGGTTGCATGTTTCTTGCGGCATGAGATGTAAGGTCTCGATTCACGTGGTTTAGAGCTTGAACTGAAGCTTTCAGGTTAGCTTGTTTTCGGGGTTGGGTCAGTTTCGACCCTCAGAAATGTATGGCATCTGGCACTGTGCTCGACCTTCAGAATCGATGCCCAAGCTTTGAACGCCAAAGCAACAGAACCCTAAGTCAAAACTCGACTCAAGTCTTAAATCTTGAGCCCTAGACCATCACCCTCACGGGCTCTCCGGCAGTATGGATCATGCAGTTGGAAAATTTTGAAAGGTGGCAAACAAAAATACGACCATCACCCTAAACCCTAAACGCTGTAACTCTGCCCTGCACTGCTCAGATCGCCGGAAGCATTGGCCCGAACATGCACCTGAGACAGACGAATCCTTACCTCGCCGCTGGGCTTCGCAGTAGGTTCGGTTGAGGGTGTCGGGGATCCGAGCTCAGGATGCAGATAGCCCGGAATAGCAGCTTATTATGGGCCTTGAGCTGGCTTTCCAGCCTGAAAGCGAGAGGAACACGGTGAGGTTCTTGCTATCGACAGGATTTGCTTGGACAACATTCAGATCAGCAATGGGGCCGTCCAGCGCAAGCTTCAAGCCCAACGCAGTCTTTCCGAATTACCTCCTACAGCTGCAACTGATAGCCCGGTGCCGCGAATCATCTCGGCCTTGGTTGTGTTTGGGTCCTTCCTTGGGGGTTCCATGCGGTTTGAAGGCTTCAGCCCGACAGTGGTTCGCCCCAAACATGACCAAGAACTCTACAGAATCTGGACACCAACAGACCCACCGCAACCGAAAGACTTAAACCCAAAGTCCGAATACCTGGAACACAATTTTTGTTCATGTGCCTATAGGACATTTCAGAGTTGCCTTTGCACTTCGTTACGGAGGCCACGGGACGTTGGGGAAGGGCCCAGGGACTCTGAGCGTTTATTTGGTTCTTTGGGATTTCAGAGTTGGTTGCTGACTGGGGTTTGGACGCTGCCGTTGTGGTTCCTCGTGTGTGGACTTTGGGGGTGTCTCGGGATTGCAGAGTTTTCGTGAGTTTGCTGTTGGGTGTGCTGAGCAGCCTTGGTGTTTAGAAGGTTCGAGTCTTGGGTTGAGTCGGTCAGAGGTTTCGGCTCGGACTTCGTTTGGAATTTGGAGATTTGTCTTGGCATTTTGGCGGTACATGGTTTCGCATTCAATGTGCAGAGTCGGAGAGTGCCTGCTTTGGCTTAGATTTCTTCGCATTGAATTCGGAGCTTGAGAGGCTAGCTTGCCCACATCTCCTTCTTTCTTACTAGGCTTCAGAGCTATCTTGGAGCTTCTCACGACGGAGTTTGAGAGTGACAGAAGCACTAGTATCGATGTGGGCTCTCTGAGATGTAGTGATGTGGTTGCCGTCGCTCGTTGCAGTAATGGCATTGGCAGAAGCAGCAGCCTGCAGTGGGCTGACAAGCGGACGGTAGTGAATCAACACCGAGTAAGCTGTGTGAGATTGTTGCGGAAGAAACAGGATGATCAGCTGGTCATTCTGGTGACAGTGGCAGCAATAGTCGCAGTCATAGCAGCTATGCTCACGCCATTGATGAAAGCAATGGTAGCGACGGCAACCGCAGCAAGCATGGGAAGACTGGCAGTAGGGACAGTGACAAAACTGAACATCACAATTATTAGAAGTCTCAGAGTAACCTTAGGTTCATGATACATGCGGACATTGCTGAGAATGCCGAAGGGAGTGAGCATACAGGCATATTGCAGAAGACAGAAAATCGTTAATAAGGCAGCAAGACTAGGAGCATAGCTATCTGAATACTGGAGTGATGATGGTGATGACAGTGACCATGGTGACGATGACGGTCGAATGATTTTGATCCTCGGCTGGGCTCGAAGACCCGGCAACAAAAAAAAACAAGAACAGCAGTTCTCTGCAAACCTGGATTGGTCTAGATCGTCTTTTTGCGCAGCCAGGGATTCCGAACCCTGAGCCTAAAAGCTTAAGCCGCCACGTTTAGAGCTGGAGGTGAAGGAAGGTTGGTTAGGGTCACGGAATTGACCGACCTGCGAAATGCGAATGAAGACGCTTTCAGATGCTGCATGTCTGGAATGCAGCGGGCGAGGAGTTGGTCTCCTTACCTGTAGAAGAGCTGAGTGATGTGCGAAGCTTGAAACAAGATGTGCAGAGGTGCTGTGGGTTTCCGCGATTCCGGCAGGTATTTATGCATGAAGGCACTATTTTGGATGATGGTGCAACGTTGGTCACGCCTGGGGATGCTCAGGTGGTTCTACTACCGTTCGCTCCTGCTTCCCAGGAAGACATGCTGACATTCATAATTGCCGTGCAGAACGGCCACGTCCACGACGTCGAGGAAATTCTACAGCGTCCCCACGATCCCAACCGACCGCGGACGGCTCTGGTTCACGCGTCCACTCGAGGCCACGTCGAGGTTGTGGGCTTGCTACTGGAAGCCGGGGCCGACAAGGACGGCACGGACATAGACCGCACCACAGGTCTCCAGCATGCGTCTGGAAGAGGCCACACGGAGGTTGTGCGATTGCTGCTGCAGGCTGGTGCAGACAAGGACCTCGCAGACTGTCAGGGGCGAACAGCTCTCATGTACGCATCTCAGCGTGGTCATGCGGAATGTGCACGGCTGCTGTTGAAGGCCAAGGCCGACAAGGACTTGGCCGACAAGGACGGCTGGACGGCTCTCATTTGCGCATGTTCACAAGGCACGGAGGAGAGTGTGGCCTTGCTGTTGCGGGCTGGGGCGCAAAAGGACTTGGCTGACCATCTCGAACGGACGGCTCTGATCCATACCGCCAGCAGAGGCCACGTGGAAATTACCCGCCTTCTGTTAAATGCTGGCGCCAACACAGGTTTGGCTGACGTTGATCGAACGACTGGGTTGGTTCACGCCTCCGTCCAAGGGTACGCAACTGTTGTGCGTCTACTGCTCGAGGCTCGTGCTGCTGAGGAATTGGCCCAAGAAACAGGTAAGACCGCGTTTCGTGGCGCATGCTCACAAGGTCACCTGAAGGTAGCGCGATTGCTGCTGGCAGCCAGAGCGGGTGGGGTACTCACGTCCTGGTGCGCATGCTCTTCGAGAAGCTGGAGACACCGAGACAAGTGGGGGGTCCGCAACGACGATGGGACGCTTCCGGGAAGCACAGCGGCGACTGCCGCATGGCAAGAAGATGCAGCACGTTGAGACCGGGAGTATCCCCATTTTGTCCCACGCCATGCCATCCTAAGAGAAGGTTTGATCTTCTCTTGTGCGAAGAAGCAGAAAGCGCTCATAAGACTTTCTGAGCCGGGAGTCACTGATATTTCCCAACGTACGCTGCCTTTAGAGAAATCCTCCGAAGCCCCTCGGCGCTCAGTCTCGAGTCTAACAACTCTAACATATCCGGTAGATGACCTACTGCCTCTGAAGCCCCAGTGCGAGATGTGCCCGTAGACTGGCAGGCCTCTTGTCCCACCAAGTCGGACGAAGAAGCTAACAGCTCCCGGACACGAGAAAAGGAGAGTACCCGCAGGTGGTTCCTTTCCGCATGGCCTCGACCTTCATGACCTCCTTCTCCCGCGGATTCGGTGGCACCAACGTGTCAGTCGTGAGCTACGCAGCCAAGGCCCCCTTTGCCTTGTTCTGCCCATGATTAGAGGCGAAGGTTTTTCCGATTCAGGTCGAACTTGTCATCCGTGGTTCACCCAAAGCCCCCAGCTGCAAGACGGCAAACTCAAAACCTGAAGCTTATCAGAATCAGAGCAGTCTCGTAGTATGTAAGCACACTTAGGCAACGATATTGGCAGCTCGAAGCGCTGGAAGTGTACAGCCGAGACTCCACGACTTCGCAAAAGCACAGTTCACAGTCCCCTGACCCTGAGCCACCCATCCCAAACCCCACACCTCCAATCCTCAGCACCCTGCCCCAAAGTGCAGGGTTTCTATCATTCAGGACACCAGCCACCTTCCGGACTCTGCGGCGCCGATGCCCCTGGCGGACGGCTTGGTCTTCTGGCCCGGGGGAGGCCAGCGACACGGCCTGCGAGGAACGTGGACTTCGGGGTTGACGGGTTTATTGTCTAGGATGTAGGGTTTTCGGGCTGCGCAGCTTCGGGCCCGTGGCGCAAAAGTTTTTTCCCGAAGAGGCCAAACTGTGGACAGTCGGCTATTGCTACCCGCTGCCATCGCAGGTGGCAAAGTGGATGGGGACTCGATGCCCAAAGAGCATTTCGCCATTGCAGGCGAACCCGAGGGAATGTTCGGAAGCTGCAAGCGATGGCCACAAAAGATTGAGATGGGTCGGGGGAGAGGGCAGGTTGAATGAGGGCAGTGCGAAGATCTTGGCATGCACGAGGCTCAGGAAGCATGCAACACCGAAGACGAGTGTCTGCTTGGAGGTACTTTTTCCGAGTGGGAGCCACAGCCCATGAAGAAGGACCAGTTGAGCTTCGGATTTGGGGCACTCAACTTGGCTTCCTAGAAATCACGCCGCACTATGTACCTAGGGTTGCCAATCCTCAAACTTCTGGAACTGAAGGAGTCTGTTCCGATGATCAGGAGATTCTGGTCCCGAGGTGTCGGGCTTCTAAGGGGGGAAGGTAGGGTCGTATGCACGAAGCTTAGTTTCGTTCAAGCACGCGAATCGCGGAATCGAAAGGCCCAAAAGCCCTCTCCCCATGATCCCGAGTTCCACTGTGATTGTACCCAATCCAAGGGCCTACCGAAGTGTGCCCGACAAGCAGAAGCCTGGAAGCAGCTTCACAATTCATCAGAGCACGATGAAAGCCAACCCTGCTGCTGTGGCACAGGAGTCGGAGGGAGTTTTCAGCTGCTCTGTCACGCTGGGCGAGAACAGGCCGGGCTGTGGGCAGACGAGCTGGCAACCTTCAGAGTCGACTTTTTGGGTTTGGGGGTGAGGGCGCCCTGTTCGCAAAACGCCCTCTCTGAAATGGACCTTAGGAGTTTGGGGAAGTATAAGCTTTTTCTCAGCAGACTGGGGATTGGGGTGTGGTTCGGAGTGGTTTGGGGATTGCTCCAGACGTTTTGATACTTCGCGTCTCAGATTTTCGTCGGAGGTTACATAGGAGGCCGGCATGCGTGGTCTAAGGTAAATCGCTTGAGACCCGAATGCTCAACCGCAAAAGCGTACTCAAGGCCAAAACTGTTCTGATCCTAAAGCCTAACCCAGGACCCTTGAGCCTGATTTCTATCCGAAACCCTGAATCGCGGGCCTGATCTCTACCGAAACCCTTGAGCCTCAAATCTTGAAGCAGAACGGCTTAAATCTCAGACCCCCTGCAGAATCAAACATTCTACTACACGCTTAATCTTGCACCGAACGGCAGGTGGGAACAGTTCCAGATCTGGCTCGATGGCGATCCATTGAGGTCGGCTCTCTGGGACTGAGAGTCGTTTATGATCATGATCCGTGTTGGTACAACCAGTATTGCTATTCCTATTAATTCTCTACTACCAGTACTATACTTTTAATGTGTATTCTTATCATTATTATGATTATTACCATTGTTCTTATTGCTACTGTCATGATGGTGTTGTTTATGATGATGATGGTGATTATGACTACCGTTATTGTAATATTACAGTTGTTATTGTGACTATGGCTGCTTTGCTGCTATTAGCAACGCATTGTGGATAGCTTCTCTTATCGGTATGCCAAATAGCACATGCAGTTCAGCAGAGCCTTGCATCCTCTAGAGCTATCTCGGCTCATGTGGCTGAACTTCGTTCCGCCCGTTTTGCAGGAGCTTAGATTGTTTGCCACCGCGAGCCATTCCACTCCTTGGTGGCCTCTGCTCCTGCTGCTGGCTGCCTGCTTGATCTTTTGTGCAGGCTGCTGCTGTGGCGCGACCCTCGTTGCCTTTCTGCTGTCCGGGGATTGCAGGTCCTTAGTGGGGCGAGGCCTCAGACTGATCGGGTGGTACCTGCAAGAACGACAGGGTGCTGACTCGGTGGTGCATCGTCGTGCAGCTTTGGCCCGCCGGCTTCGAGAGTATTCGGACTGAGGGTGCATGCCCTCTAGCCATAACTCTTCAGAGCACTCCGAGGACCAGGACATCGAGGAGATCACCTTGAGACTGCGGGATTGCTCGGTGAGTGTGCGGTTCTCGCCTGCAAGGCGGGCGCCTCGGCCGGCTTCGCCTGCCCCTTCCTCGTCAAGCTTCACCGTGGTTAGTGCCTCAGAAGTGGAACGTGCCGGAGTACCCCTTGCAGGGTCCGCCGACGGACCTTTGAGCCCGGACCTTGAGATCTTGGGCTTGGATTCTGCTGCTTCGCTTGCTGAGTTCGACTTGGGGCATTTGAGTAGCCTGGCTTCGGGTTTGGGGACAGCGCCTGGCGGGTGGACGCCTGCAGCCCGACTGGCCCGTGCTTACCGAGCTGGGGTCAGTGCACGACTGGTCTTGGAGGGCCAGCAGAGACTGCAAGCTTCTTCCCTGCCCCTGGATTGCAGGAACCGATATTATATCTGCCTGAGGTCTCGATCGCGGCCTTCAGGCTTTGCCACCCAATCCTCGGCCGTCTTCTTCCGTGAGGTGCGAGGTCCTCGTGGTGAGCGCTTCGGGGCCGAGGTGGTCTCGCACGCCTTTGCTTCGAAGGCCGAGGCTACCGCTTTCCTGGCTGGGGCAGGCCGGGGATGGCCAACCGACCTGTAGGGCGAGCCGTGGTGCGAGAAGAGGACGTCCGAGCTCTTCTTGCTACCGATATCAGTCGGACGCAGCTGCCCCCTTTGCTTCTGTGCAGTGACGATCCAGAATGGCGAGCTTTGGTTTTTCTTCTGCAGGCCCGAGCCGGGGGCTTTGCAATTGCGGCCCCTTCGCTCGAGGACGTGGCCGCTGCTTTGGCCGCCATTGCCGACGAGGAGACCGGAGAGTCTTTGGTGCTGACTGTGGTGCGACAGGTGGAGACAGAAACTTCACGACGCCGGGCAACCGGCCCTGTGGACGCTATCTTCGCGGATGTACCCTGGAGTGCCTTGTCTCGTTTTCGCAGAGCAGGTGGCATTCGCCTGTCCCAAGGGGCCATGCGAACTTTTACTGCAGCGGAGCAAGTGGTGCGGCCTCTGGCTTCTTCGGCTTTGGAGGTCTTTCGGCTTTGGCTAGCCGAAGTCGAGGACGACGACTCCATGCGGGAGTATGCCACCGCCGAGGAGGAGCCACCAGAGCAGGAGGAGGAAGAAGAGCTCGAAGCGGA